AATTACTTCGATTCAATATGTATAAATACTTCGATTCACGTAAATACTTCGATTACGTAAAAATACTTCGATTCACGTATTCGTAAAATACTTCGATTCACGTATTCGTAAATTACTTCGATTCTATTCGTAAAATACTTCGATTCACGTATTCGTAAATACTTCGATTAAAATACTTCGATTCACGTATTCGTTACTTCGTTCAATTCGTAAAATACTTCGATTCACGTATTCGTAAAATACTTCGATTCGTATTCGTAAAATACTTCGATTCACGTATTCGTAAAATACTTCGATTCACGTATTCGTAAAATACTTCGATTCACGTATTCGTAAAATACTTCGATTCACGTATTCGTTAAATACTTCGATTCACGTATTCGTAAAATACTTCGTAAAATACTTCGATTCACGTATTCGTAAAATAAAAATTACTTCGATTCACGTATTCGTAAAATACTTCGATTCACGTATTCGTAAAATACTTCGATTCACGTATTCGTAAAATTACTTCGATTCACGTTTCGTAAAATACTTCGATTCACATATTCGTAAAAATACTTTGATTCACGTATTCGTAATTACTTCGATTCACGTATTCGTAAAATACTTCGATTCACGTATTCGTAAAATACTTCGATTCACGTATTCGTAAATATTCGATTCAAAATTACTTCGATTCACGTATTCGTTAAATACTTCAATTTTCATTCGTATTCGTAAATACTTCGATTCGTATTCGTAAAATACTTCGATTCACGTATTCGTAAATTACTTCGATTCACGTATTCGTAAAATACTTCGATTCACGTATTCGTAAATACTTCGATTCACGTATTCGTAAATTACTTCGATTCACGTATTCGTAAATTACTTCGATTCACGTATTCGTAAAATACTTCGATTCACGTATTCGTAAAATACTTCGATTCACGTATTCGTAAAAATACTTCGATTCACGTATTCGTAAAATACTTCGATTCACGTATTCGTAAAATACTTTCGATTCACGTATTCGTAAAATACTTCGATTCACGTATTCGTAAAATACTTCGATTCACGTATTCGTAAATTACTTCGATTCACGTATTCGTAAAAATACTTCGATTCACGTATTCGTAAAATTACTTCGATTCACTCTTTCGTAAAATACTCGATTCACGTATTCGTAAATTACTTCGATTCACGTTTTCGTAAAATACTTCGATTCACGTATTCGTAAATACTTCGATTCACGTATTCGTAAAATACTTCGATTCACGTATTCGTAAAATACTTCGATTCACGTATTCGTAAATTACTTCGATTCACGTAAAATACTTCGATTCACGTATTCGTAAATACTTCGATTCACGTATTCGTAAAATACTTCGATTTATTCGTAAAATACTTCGATTCACGTATTCGTAAATACTTCGATTCACGTATTCGTAAAATTACTTCGATTCACGTAAAATACTTCGATCACGTATTCGTAATACTTCGATTCACGTATTCGTAAAATACTTCGATTCACGTATTCGTAAAATACTTCGATTCATTCGTAAAATACTTCGATTCAGTAAAATACTTCGATTCACGTATTCGTAAAATACTTCGATTCACGTATTCGTAAAATACTTCGATTCACGTATCGTAAAATACTTCGATTATTCGTAAATACTTCGATTCACGTATTCGTAAAATACTTCGATTCACGTATTCGTAAATTACTTCGATTCACGTATTCGTAAAATACTTCGATTCACGTATTCGTAAAATACTTCGAAGGAAAAACTGGTACGCATTCTTCGTCTCTGTCTCTATTCTTAATGGCTCTCGCATCATTCTCTTTCACACGCAAATGCATAACGAAAGATCTACGCTTAACCGGTGGTGAATATTCCGGCAGTCGGTTATTAAAGTACCGATAACTTTCTCTTTACCATTATAGCAACACGCAAAAAAAAAAAAAAAAAAAAAAAAAAAAAAAAAAAAAAAAAAAAAAAAAAAAAAAAAAAATCGGCGTCGGTGGTATTAGGGAGGCGGTTTTTGGTATCATTATCGTTTTTTTTTTAATTCTGTTATCATTATCATAATTGTCATTATGTTTTTTTCATTATTGAATATGGCATCAGTGTTATCATTATAATTATCTTTATTAGAGTTATCATTATACTATCATTGATAATATCATGATTATCATTGTTACTATCAATATCATTGTTATCATCATGCTCATTGTTATTATCAAAATTATTATTATTATCTTTATCACCATTGCTATTATCATTTTATTGTCATTATCATTATCATAATCATTATCGTCATTGCTATTATCACCATTGCTATTATCATCATTACTATTATCATCATTATCATTGTTTTCGTTATCATGATAATAAAGATAAAAACAATCAGATAACTAGTAGTATTTAATAACAAAAACAATAAAGAAAATAAATGATGACAATCATGATAATACTGAAGATCATGATAATAATCATGATAACGATATTAACGACATTAACGATAACAGTAACAAGAATAATGAAAACAATAATAACAACAATGATGACAGGTGCACGAACCATGAAGAAAACAAGATGACAATGTATTCAATTCCCCAAAATAACCCAGCACTTGAAACACTCTCTCGCCATCAGCTGTTGTTTTGATAAAAATAACACGTGAAAACTCCCAGGAGAGTAATCTCGTGATGCTATCTCTGGGTGCAGTTGTCTCGCGCCTTCGCTGGTGCCCAAGAAAGCTAATACGATCTACGGTTTCTTTCTCCGCTCGTTTCTTCGTTCGCGCTCGTCTCTGTGTTCGGATTTTTTTTCTTTTTTTTTCTTTTCATTCGTGTGTGTTTCTGGAAGCCTTTTGTTCATTTTTTTTCATTTGTTTGTAATTGTTTTTGTTTTTTTCGTATGGATCTTTGCTTGTGTTTTTTTTTTCTTTTTTGCTTCTTTTCTCGTATTGTCTTTTTCGTTTGTCGTTTTATGTCAGCAATTTATTTTATTTTACGTGTGGTTATGATATTACAGTCTCTGTTATTCTACCTGTCTTCCTCTTCCTTTCTCTCTCCTATCCTTTTTCTTCTTTATTTCGTTCCCTCGCTCTTTCTCTACCTTTTCACTTCTCTTAGTCTCTCTGTATCTGTCTTGCATGTCTGTCTGTCTCTCCCCTGTCTCATTCTCCTCTATCCCCCCCTTCTCTCTCTTTCTCTTCTCCCTTCTCCCCTCTCTCTCATTTCTCTATCTCCTCCCCTTCTCCTTCTCCCCCTCTCCATTTTCTCTCTCTCTCTCCCCTCTCCCTCTTTCTCCTTCTCCCTGTCTCCCCCTCTCTCTTCTCTCTCTCCTCCCTTCTCCTCTTTCTCCTTCTCCCTGTCTCGCCCTCTCTCACTTCTCTCTCTCCTCCCTTTCTCCCTCTTTCTCCTTCTCCCTGTCTCCCTCTCTCTCTTCCAATCGCTTCCACGAGGAAATAAACTCTGCACATCACCTTTAGCCATGATTAAAGGAGCAACGGAGCGGTCTTGTCTGGCGTCGGCGCTGCGATGCCCGAGCGAGGAGGAGGGAGAGAGAGAGAGAGAGAGAGAGAGAGAGAGAGAGAGAGAGAGAAGAGAGAGAGAGAGAGAGAGAGAGAGAGAGAGAGAGAGAGAGAGAGAGAGAGAGAGAGAGAGAGAGAGAGAGAGAGAGAGAGAGGAGAGAGAGAGAGAAAGTGCTTTGCAAACGGAGGGAAAAGTCTGGCTGCTATATATTTTGTTCCTTGATTTTTTCTTTCTTATTTTTTATAAATGGTTATCAGAATTTGGTTAGGTATTGAGATCAAACCAAGGAGAGACTGTTATCATGATCGTATGTTATGCATTAACACCCTTTTCTCCCTCAAAAAAAAAAAAATAATAAATAAAATAAAGAATGGGACACACAAACGACCATAACATAGCATACACGTATATATGTCCCTAAGACTCCCACATTCTACAACGTCTCTTCACGAACTAAAAATAAACTACAAGAAACGACACTCACAAGATATTCATCAACTGAGTCAAGATACACTTCTTAAGATCAACAAAAACAGACGGCAGCTGCGCCTAAGACGTAATCAAGCGACTTCAAAGGAGGAGAGAGAAGCCTACCCCCTCGAACCAGAAACTACAAGACGTTAAATGGATCTTGACACTTTTTTTCTATGCGGATCTCGTCCTCACGGTGAACTATTACCGTATGCGTTGTGGTAGTATGGTTATAATGATTGAATTTATAGCAAGGAATAATGGAGAATTAACAATTCGGAGTTCCATAATTTGCTCGAGTGAAAGATATTTATCAGGCGTGACTGATGACCTGGATCTGTTACCTGTTTTGCGATTTTTTAACAGCCAAATATCATCATTGATATACGCTACACACACACAAAATAAATAAATGAATAAATAAATACAACGGATAAACATGTGAATAAGTGAACGTGTCAATAAATTAATGAATAAAAAGAGAAAATTATAATGAAATAGCCCTCGTCCTTGTCCCTAAGCTAAAGTTTTGACGTAGGTAGTAGTTGGTAGGTGGTATTTCGATCTCGGTCTCGTCCTTCCCATTGTCCTTCTGTCTTCTTATACTTTTTTTCTTTTTTCCCCTTCTTTTTTCCTTTTATCTTTACTTATCGTGATCTCTCTTTGCAAATACACCCTCTCCTCTTCCTCTTCAGAAAAAAAAAAAATACTCGTAATAAACATGTAATAACATCTACTTAATCTCTAACCCAACATTCTTCTTTTCCCTTTTATCTTTACTTCCGTGATCTCTTTGAAACAGACACACCCTCCTCTTCCTCTTCAGAATTCAAAAAAAAAAAAAAAAAAAAAAAAAAAAAAAGAAAAAAAAATACTCGTAATAATATATGTACTTAATCTCTAACCCAACATTTCTTTCCTTGACCGCGGAAGAGAAACGCAAACATTCTACTCTCTCGACAACAACATTTCTAGTGCCCCTTTAAGGCTTGGTTTTCAG